TTTAAATAAAACATTAGTCATATAGGGTTAAGGTCCACCCCACTCTGGTATGACTTAACTTATAATAACTTCAGAGAAAGATAGGTATAGGGGTTATGACTCTAAAGTACCTTCTGGGGACATGTTTCAGTGCATAGTAGATGGCAAACAGTGAAAAGACTTTTGGGCATGGGGATCCTAAGCTCAGTGACGTCACCAAGCCACCAGGGTTCTGTCGTCTTTCCTCCTGACTTCCTCTGGAGTATGTGTCCGCTCCTCGAGGCTGTCTTCAGGTGTCAGGCAATGTTCCAAGCAGGAAGGAAGGGGAAGAGGGGAACACGTGGCAGAGGTTCTTGTCACGAGGCTGCAGCATTTTGTGGGAAGAGAGCCCTTCCCAGGGACCTTTGCCAGACCCCATTGTCCAGCACCCAGGCCATGGCCACCCTTACTGGCCAGGGAGGCCAGAAGCAGACCATCTGACTCTCCAGCTGACTTTGGAGAGAAAGCCAGTGAGGAAGGGGTTAGCACGTTGCTGTGCGAAGCCATCGATGGTTGTCCAGGTAGGGTGAGTCCACGTTTTGTGCAGCCTCAGATCATGTAGGGAAATTCAGGAAAAACACAGAGTTACAGACATACACAGGGAAGGCTCTCTCCAAAGCCTTGGCAGGTCCATCCACGGGAAGGGGCCTGAAGTGTACGCATCACCCTCTTCACTCCCCCCATTTCTGCTACCACACCCGGCACGTACACTTGGTCTGGAATATACAGTCTCCTGCTGCTGGGTAGGAGCTCTGGTGGTGCAGTGGTTAAAAGGCTTCAGCTCCTAACCAAAAGGTTGGTGGTTCAAACCTACCAGCTGCTGTGTGGGAGAAAGATGAGTCAGTCTGCTTCCGTAAAGATTGACAATCTTGGGAACTCTCTGTGGCAGTTCCACTCTGTCCTCTAGGGACACTGTGAGTCAGAATTAACTCCACGGCTGTGGGTGGGGTTTGGGCTTTGCTTCTGTGAAGGCTGACAGCCTTGGAAACCCTGTGGGGCAGTTCTACTCTGTTCCAAACACTTGCTTTGAGTCTGACTTGATTTAATGGCAGTGGATTTGGTTTTTTGGTTTTGCTGCTGGGTCTGGTGATGACCATGGTGGCATTTAAAAGTACT